TGGACTCCATGAAAAAAGAAGAAAATACTTTTTTAGTTTGTCATTATGAAACAATTTTTTGGATACAATAAACATTTCCATACTGTTTGTCACTCCTGACTTTCGGAGACGTCATGGTGACAATCAGAGTAACACTCCACTGATAAATATTAAAGCAGAAACCTCTCAGCATGACGACAGGCTGCAGTGATAGAAACACTCAAGCTAAGTGCAACACAGAACTGATTGTAGAGACTTTGGGTGAACTGTGGATATATGTGTGTATTTATAGCAGACAACTTAAGCAGAGCCTCCAGGTTGGTCTGACATGGCGCCCACAGCTGTTTCCTCGATCTGGGAGCCGGTGCACCGCAGCAGGCACCAATGAGGTCTCTGCAGTTGTAGATGGATAATATAAGTAACATAATTTGAAACAGAGGGACTCGATATTGTGGCAGATAAATATGAAGTTATAATTTTTTCATCAGATTCTCATCTGAGCTCCATGGACTGTCACAAGAAGCAAACTGCAAACGTGAACCATGTCAACTCTAAGGTTTATTTATTTTTTCTTTCTGCACTTTAGTGCTCATCATTTTTTAAAAGTAAATGAGTTACAATATTAATGAGGGAGAAGAATTCAAGATGAGCTCACACACACAACAAAGAGTTTAGGTTTATGATTTTTTAAAAAGGCAAATCTTTAAAATAGTAAGCAGACTTTATTTGAAAAATACATTTTCAATAAGATCTATGGGATTTTTTCTGCTTCTGACTGACAAGCAGTTCCTAAAAAGAATAAAAGCAACAAAAAAAAAGCAAAAAATTAAATTTGAAATCTTCTCTCCTTGAAGGAGGTTCACTGCAAGAGTTTGAAGATTAAATTCATTTTCAGATTAACTGGCATCTGAAAATGTTGGCTTAAAAACACCATGCAGCAAAACATGGGCACGATTTAGAAATCAGATGTTTGTGAAAAGAATGTTTCTTCCTGTTTGTGCTCCAGCAGTTTCAATTTAATTAACAACCATTTGGTGGTGGTTCACTGTCCTGGGCCAAGTTCAAACATTAGCTTTATGTTCCAACTAATATGGTATTACACTAAAATGATGAAACAAAGAGAGTTCTTCACTTAAGACATAAGATTAGATCCTAATAGCCTTTTAGCTCAACCTCACTTCAAAAATGTTGGACCGACCCTTCAAGGCTGATATATTTTGCCTATTTATTTTTTGTGGCGGTTCCCACAGCAAATAGCATTAAATAGTACAATTAGAGTGAGGAATGTCTGACGCTGATAAAGAGATCATATGGATTCGTTTGACTTTTGCAAACCTGGTTCTGACATGTGTTGCCGTTGCCCCTGCAGATAAAACCCGGTATCGCTAAGCTCCCCGCTCCGCTCCCTGTCGTCCCTCAGAGCCATCTCTGCCTTTGTCCTTTCCTCTGCTGAGTCAAAAACGGATACCAGCCACAGGTGGTCTCTGTGCTTTATTGGTTCTGACACACATCTCTTGGTTTAAGAGCTTAGGGAGACAATTAAAAATTCATAGGGACAATGAAATGAGAGGGAATAAAAAAAAAAAAGACAAACAAATAGGACAAACAAGAAAGCATAACCTTGCAGAGGCACTAAAGTTCTCTGACCTATCATCTACAGTGTTTATTGCTGGAGGCTTCTCTGTGCCTATGATTGTGTGGTTGTGGTACAAGTGCAACGGCACAGAGAGTATCTAAACTAAAAAATGTAGTTGCCTTGTTAATAATACAAAGGAGGAAGAAACCTTTAACACCTGTCAACCAGAAATGTTCTTTTAAGCACCTGAACTTTATGACTGAGAGTTTAGCTCAGCTCCACTGTGCAACTCGTTGAACTATTTCAGTCTCTCACGGAATCACCAGAGATTTGCCCACATTTAAATTATTCTGACTAACAAATAACCACTTATTTGCTTACCTGCAAATCAGTGTTTTTGCTATTTGTACGCAGCTAATATTCTCCACTCTGTAAGTCACAATACAGCTTTAATGGAACATATTGTTAATGACATAAACAGTGTATTTTATTCAGATTTTTTCCCACCTGCAGCCCTCCATGTGGTTGTATTGTGGCATCCTTGTTGCAGAAGTACCACCAGTATGAAAAGGACCATGCTAATGTGTGTTTGTGGGCCGTATGAGAGTGTGTAAGAGTTGGAGTTTGGAGTTTTATGTTCTGCACACTATTTCACACCGGCAATACCCATTCTGTGTTTGTGGTCTTTTTCATTGGATCTCAGCTTCTCAGATGTTTCACGTTTTTGAAACATACCAGATAACATATTGATTAAATAAATAATATTAATAATAATAATAATGAAACAGTAAACAAAGTATTCAGGTGGGAAACTCTGTCCACTTCATCATAGCTTTCACTGGGTGTTAGCTTGACTCGGTCCATTAAAGATTCAAACACCAATCGCTGTCAGATGTTTGGAAGAAAAACATAAAATCTAGGAAAGAGTGTGTAGACGGGGCCAGACTTTGCATGCTGACAAACAATACATTTCTTGAAAACAAACTGCTTACAGTCTCACAAAAAAAACGAAACATGTATTTCATTTCACTGAAATACATGTTTATTTTGTCCAGTCTCAACAGTTCTCCATGTTTGCCACTGATTATTAATTACCTTAAAATCAAAATTGTAGAGAGGAAAAAGTATTTCTGGAACCTTATGTGGCATAAAAAGTTTGTACTGTTTATATGTTTATTAACTCTTTATTCTTTAGAGGATAACAGATTATCAGTGAGAAAGAAAAACACTCCCTCAGATCTCCAGTGTGTCCTCAGCTGGCCTCCACTTTACTGGTAAATAAAATATCCTTATTTCAAGGGGATTTTCCAAAATGAACAATGCTTGTATTGTTTATTGATCTACAATAAAATCTTGTAGGTTGAATTTTATTGCATCTCTTTAGTGTTTATGCATGTTTGCATGAGGTCTCTGTACCACAAAGCTGTTTTATTTTGGTTAACAGGTTTGAAAATAGCTTATTTTTTGGCAACGAGAGCAGATTTTCCTACAAGTGCTGAAATATTAGGACTGAAAGAGACATTATTTTCATTCACCCACTGTGTATAATTTCAAGGGAAGCTTTTTGCTCAATTACTTCGAAAGCTGCCTAAAAGCAAAGTGTTTGATGTTTAATGTTTCACTTCACTTTAAGATTGTTTTATTCATATTGCTCTGTTTGAATGTCATCACTAAGAGTTTCCATATCAAGGCGTCAAACAGTTTTGCCACAGTAAAAGCTGCCAACCTAATCACAGATACTGCGCCATGTGTGAGTTTAGTGTTTCTGGGTGAGTGAAAAAACAATGAAGAATTTTTTAATGCTATTTCTAACCATGCCAATCAACTTGTTTTAATATTTCATTATTGTCTTAAAGGGACTGTGAGGTTTTCCCACAAACCAGCCAGAGAGTATTGAGTAAAGTTAAAATAAATTTAAATTTATTACAAAAAAATCCACAAATAATTTCAAAATGATAAATCGGGCCCAAAACTGAGGTCAACATAACAAACTACAACTCAGGTAGCAACACAAAGAACTCAAACAAAAAACTGACCTAACTAACAAGACATGAAGAGAACTTAAATAGTGGGTGATCAAACCACTAGTAAACACAAAAGGGATAATTAAACACACACAACACAAAACAAATACAAAGGAACATTACTAAATCTTTAAATTAAATAAAGATTAGAACTGAACTAACTTTCAAAAGAAAAAACATTAAAGAAATAATGAAACTAAACTAAAAAACCAAATTTCCCCCTCCCCTGGTGAGCAGATGGAATGGCCCACTGGGAAGTTGACCACCAGTGGGCATCAGCTGGAAATCATCTGTAGCTCCAGGGGAAACTGGTAAACTCAAACAAAAGAAATTTAGTGCATTTAACAAAAATTATAAAGAACTGACAAATAAAGTTAACTAAATGGGTGCACTACACATAGTTAACTAAATTGGTCAAATTAATGAAGACAAATTTAAAAATAAAAATCTAAACTATTCAAACAAATATATAAAGTAATATTAAAGAAGAACAGAAAATAATTACTTTTATTCTGTGACAGCAGGAACAGCTGTCACAGGGACAGTGCAGAGTTTCAAAAGAGGGGTTGTGTGAAGTTTCAGAGTATGTGAGTGGATTGTCCGTCTTTGGTGGAGTGTTAGTGTCTCTGCTGGACAGTCCATGAAGTTGTGTCCTTACCACTTTCCATTCAGCAGGAACTGGGATGTGAACTTCCTATCTGGTTCTGCCCTTCTTCTTTGTGTCCAGTGTTTGTTCTTTGTCTAACCAGTAGCTGTTCAATTGTCTGCATTCACATTTATCTGGTGTTTTTAAATATAGCTCATAGGACAGTCTTAGCTGATCTGTCAGATTGGTGCAACAAGCATCCCCAGTATATTACCAGTGATAAAGCAAACAATGATGTGATACAAAGATGTGTTGCATAAGCCCACTATCATTATTGTTCACGCTAATAACATATTTTGAGGTTTAGATTGTTCCATACGGCTGCATCTTGGGCAGGTTGAGCTCTGGAATCAGCATTATTGATGTTGCCTGCGATACTGCTCACTTAACCTTACAATGCTCTCTGCAATTCTGCTTTTAAGCAGCAGGTGTTGCTTCAGTGGAAATCTGGAAAAATTCAAGAGATAGAAGATGACAATTCAGAGGAGATCTACTCTCCGCTGCATTTTTACAAGTTCCTTTTGAATTTTCTGAAACATTTAGCAATAAATGTTACTTCTTCTTTTATATTCAGCTAAATGTTCATCTGTGAAAATTAATGTTCCTGCAAAGATTATCATCTTACCCTTTCTGATCAGTCACCTCCTTGACCTCCTCTTATCATAAACACATTTGGTTTCACTGGAAGCATTATTTTCTGGACAAAAAAAATGTAAATACCTTGTTGTGGTTTAATAAGACAATTTTATTCTTCAGTTTGCTTGTTGAGCTCATTTATACCTTTTATCATATTGTCAGACTCTACAATACAGCAACAAACAAGACATCATACACATCGCTTAATGTTACAGATACATCATACCCTGAAGAGACAAGCTGCACAGTACGAGGGTCTGCTCTGATAATAATCTCTTACTCTACACATCTGTGATGTAACCCATTCAGATAGTCAGAAGTATACCGAAAATGTTTTATTATCCCAATGAAAACAAGGTTTAACAATATAAAAAAACGTAAATAAAACCTGTTTGGCATGATGCTAACTCATGGCACAATGCTAATGGCTGACATAGGAGCTCATAAAGTGCACTTCTGAGGCAGATAATTGCAAAAGTAAAATTCAGTTATCGCAGCAGGGTCAAATTAACATTTTTAAACATTAACTTTGTTTGAGAGGCAGTTGCATAATGTCCACACACAAGCAAAAATAAATACAAGGTTAATTTCTGAAATCAGAGAAAGGCCTGAGAGGTGGAAAAATAAATAATAAATCTGTAAGGACATGAATTTCATTCAGGACATTGACCTGCCTGCTTGTCATCTACAGTATTTGTGTTTAGTTTTAACCTTTCAGCTGTCTAGTGGTCAAATATGCATAACTTGACTTTTGCTTTTAGTTACTTTTAGTTGATTTTAGTGACTGAAAAACGTCCGAACCGAGCCTGTCTGCAGAAGGATGAAACATATTTTTAACTGTAAAAATGAGAATAAAGCCAGGAAATGGTTTGATAAGCACAAATATAGATGGTAGGTGGAAGCAGGTTCTCATTTAGTCTTCCATTTTTGTCCACTTATGCAGCATAGTGCTCCCTTCATCCTTTGGTACCCCATTTCATACCCATTTGTCATCCATCCTTCCATTTTCTAAATCCACTTGTATTATGCAGGGCTGTACGGGGGTACTTGCATGTCTCTAGTGGCCAATGTGCTCGAGGCGAGGTACAACCATCCACATGCACGCACACACACGCACACACACCCACACACACACCCCCACACGTACACGCACACACACACACACACCTGCACACGTGCACATGTTCTAGTCCTCAGAGACCCCTGTCCTGCATTTTTTAGGTGTTCCCCTTCTGCCACACCTGGATTGAATCTGCAGTTCTTGGTGACTGCAGAAAAGTTCATGCAGTCATTTGGATCAGCTGCTCTAAAATAGAGGCACGTCTAAAACATGCATAGGAGGGGAGCCTGAGGATTGGAATTGAGAAGCACTGACTTAACATAACATGCATGTTTGTCGGTGGTAGGATGAAGATAATCTATTCATTCATGAACCAGAAAACACAAACTCCACACAGAAAACCTTTGGCAGCCCCCCCTTTCTGGGAGGCAACAGTGCTAAGTTATCACTCTTTATACTGAAGTATGTTTGAAAACTGGAAGTAAAATTCATACAAAATGCTAAATTCTCAGGCAGTCTAATTATGTTATGATCTAGAGAAATTATTTTGTATCAAATTTTTGTATATAAAATTTAAATGACCATAGAGTGAAATAACAAATGATACTGACCAGCTGCCTTCGAAGCTGGATTTCAGAAATAACAGATCTAGGATGGAAACAAAACTATTTTTCTCCCTATTCTCTCCAGAGCTCGATGGCTCTTGTTGATGAAGAGGAGCAGCATTTCTTTTTCAGTTCAATGAAGTTCCTCTCCTTATGTTTCAGGTGGAGCCATGCCTTCAACTTAATGAAATTCATTTCAGCCACTTTTGTCGGGCTCCTCATTCTTTTAGTTCTAATTCACATCCAATGACTGCAGGTGATGTCTTGAATGCAGATGCACCAAAAAGTGTGAGGTCAGCCGTTTGGTCTAACTAGAGAAGTTCAAAGTCTGAACTGCAGCTGAAGCTCTGATATGTCAAACCATTTCCTGCTCCATCTCACTGAGACTTGAGATACCGACCTCTTTCACTCAAAGGAGACTCACTCCAGCCCAGAAAAACACTAAAATAAATCACTCCTGCTTTTAGCTGTTTCCAGAATGAAAACAACAGTTTAACATAATCAGCCTAAAGTAAATTAGTCAAATTGATTTGTTCTGAGATCCTTACAGACAGTTCACTAAAAGCCACAGAAAGAGCAAGAGTGACTTCATTAGTTTTTCATAGAGCCATGATGACTAAAATTTAAAAGTAACTGAGTCAGTCTGGGATTTCATTAAAATCATTGGATATCATGTATTTCTATTATGCAGCAGTTACAGCAAGCATTTGCCTCTCAGATCACCACCTAACAAATACATTTTAAGTCAATTCAATTCTATAATTAACCCGTCTAGTTTTTATGGATGCAGTCCTGGTTTTAAACAGATGTTAAATTATACATAGGTTGATTATATTTAAGAATTAGGCAACTTCTGACTGTGCTTGTTTGTACTTAGGAGTTTTCAAAACAAAGACAAAAGCACATTATTTTGATTTTTTTTTTAATCAAAATGTTTGAGATGAACAGAATTATGTTGGTGTTGAGGTTTTAGCATGACAAAACAGAAAACTTCAAACTGTGGTAATGTCTTTGCCAGGCAGTGCAAACGAACAACAAATAATTCACTGCAAATAATTTTTTCTCCTGCTTTCAAAGCTGTGATCCAGTGGTCAATCAGTGACCTGATTATTGAATCAGGTCACTGATTATGACCTTATGGTAACTCACCTTTAGTTTATGGATAGACTGAGATCACAATCAGAGGAAGAAATGTGTCATTTCCTCTGAAATAATAGCAATTTATCATTACCACAGAACGGCATTCTTACAATCTTTGAATGTGTCTGAAAGTTAAAATCATGGCGTCTTCGACTCTGACTTGCAACTGAAAATTATGATCTTTTTAATTTCACTACATTCTCAGCGGAGTAAATGTTACTGCAACTTGAAACATTCACACAACTCTGAAACGTTGACCTGTGGTTGATTCAGCTGGATTTGTTTGCAACTGGACTTGAAACCGTGTCTTTGTGGTAAAAGCTCCCAACCTGCATGATTGCCTAGATCAAAGTAGATCTGGAAAAAACATGGACAGTTTCCACATTTTCTCCCCTCTGCAAAGCTCTGACTCTGCACATTGATCCTCATTTGGATAAAATAATTGCAACCATTTTATATTTTGGTCCAGAGCCACAAAAAATCTGTTCGCTAAAACAAAAGAGATGAACATGGTCCTCAGGTCTTCTCACCGTGGGGAGGGGACTGCTCTCTTTGAAAAAGCAGGGTCACACCCTTCCTGAAGCGGTGGTCCCTCACACTGTAGATGATGACATTACAGCAGCTGTTTCCTGTCAGAATCCAGAAGGCCAGAAAAGAAAAGTTGCACCACGTGTATCCCACCACATTTCCCAGCACAAACACTGCGATGGGAGAGAAGGATGCTGTGAAAGCAAATGTCAGTATGCCGATTGTCTTTGCAGCCTTAATGTCTGAGAATGATGGTCTGTGGGAGCATCCTCCTCCTCCCCCTCCGTCACTCAGACTCCCCACTGAGAGCAGTTTACGTTTTTGGGTGTATCGGCGAATGCTTGTGAAGGACACAACGTTAACTGCAAAAGTTCCACCCAGAAGTGTGAAGTCGAATGCTGGGAACAGCAGCAAAATGTTGGCATCAGGCGGGAGCCGGCCTCCGAACAACAGCGGGGCGTAGTTACACATGCGACTGCACTCATTGTACTCCAAAGTAAAGTTGCTGCTGAAGATGAGAGGGGCGAGAGCCAGCAGGAAGCTGGCTGCCCAGGACAGCAGGATGAGGAGCAATGTTCGTCTTCTGGTCACCAGCGCGTCTTTGTGGAGCGGCCACAGGATGGCCACGCTGCGCTCCAGAGTCATCAGGAAGATGGTGCTGATGGAGACAAAGGTGCATCCCGCAAACACGGGACCAATCAGCATGCAGGGCTGCCAGGGCCTCTCCATGTCACTGAAGGATGCCGACGTTCCGCCCTGGTACCACAAGGGAGGAGCGCTGGTCATCATCAGAGAGATTTCAGTGAAAACAGAGAAAGGAACCACGACAACACCCACCATCATGTCTGCTATGGCCAGAGACACTGTCGACAAGATTAACAGAGGAAAAAAAGCATTATTCAGTTTAAATGGTTGACAATCAGGCTTTTAATCATATCTGGTCAACTTTATCTCATGAAAAAAAAAAGAAATACAAGATAAAAAACAACTACAAGGTTACCTTTCAAGTACCCTTGTGGTGTTCTCGACTGCCTGGTTTGCACAAAGACTGTCAGAGTCACCACATTCCCAACCACTATAGCAAACGCTAGGCTGACCATGAACGCCACAGCCAGGGTACGGTTGAGCATCCCACAGCAGCAGAGGGTGCAGAGGGGTGGAAGTGACTGGCCCGAGCCATGTCCCGTCTGCGCAGTCGCAGTCAGGTTAAACGGACAGTCAGAGGTCACCAGAAGAGCTGCGGTGCCCACGGGAATGCTGGTGTTGGGAAGCAGCTCAGACATGGCCCAGAGTGGTAATAATCCCTGTGAAGTGTTGGCAGAAAACCGGCTCAGGAAACCATGATGTAAAGAGGTTGGCCTTCCTAGAAAAACACAGCAGAAAAAGGTATTTTCAGTCATTCATTTTTGGCTGGATTTTGATTATGTAATAATCATGTGGTGGTAGATTTTAGCTACATGTTTTTCTTGCTAATTCTCAAACAGCCCAGATAATTACTGTTTTTTGCATAGTATAAATCAAGAGAAACTGTCACATGAGAGCATCTAGAGTTGCTGAACATGATCAAGTTGTTTGTAATGATTGTCCAAAGACACAAACTCTCCTCTCAACTTCAAAACAAACTTGTGAAATACAAATTAGTATTTCACCTATTGTGAAGTGCACACACTGACTTCAATTTTTTTTCTGTCACCACTTTTCTCAGAACTGTTCCTTGTCCTTTATGACGTCTTTACACAAACATCATTTATATTTATCCATTGTAAATGGCAAAGCACTTTCAGAATCTCTCAAAAAGCTTTTAGCAAGAAAACCAAAACTGTAGACATGTGTTTAAAAGTAATATTTTGATAAGTTTCTCATTTGTTTTTTTGCATCAAAGCATTAGTCTGAGAAACCACTTCATGTGACAGACACCTTGCAAATTATTATATTTTTCAGGAGGTGACAAAATGTTCCAACAGAAGACAGAAATAATAATAAACAATTGGTCTCTTTCTATGTTATGTCTGGGCATGGACCATTTTCAAATTAAAAGCTTCTGTCACACTTCTTTCCCTTCTTTGCATACTGTTGCATGGAAAAACATGCACTAACAAGTTCCCTTCACAAAAGAGAACAAAGTGAATTTTGAGAAATATCACGTCCTGCAATATATTTATAGTAAGTGTGTAACTTTTAAAGTTCTTCCATATTTATTCTTACGTACACAACGTGTGTGTTCATGCTTTGTGAGGTCAATAGTTTGGGATTCACAGTGTTCAGCTGCGTCAAGGCTGAGTATGTTACTGTTGCCGCAACATCAGCGTCTTTTTGCTTTGTTTGATATATAGATTGACAGAATGACAGAAAAGGAATGACTTTTCTGTCAGCGGAATAAGAACAAATATTAAAAATATTTTTTTTGTGTGTGTTGTTGTCGCTTATAATCTAGTCTAGGGGTACCCCTTGGTTTTATTGTCTGTGTATTGTGGCTACTTGCTATTCCTCGACTCCAACACAGTTTGAGGCATCCGTCCTGTCAGTGCCCAAACTCCAAGTTCAGGACCAAATGTCTTTCACAGCTGACAATTAAATGCACGAGTCCTTCCATCATCTGTGTTGTTCAGTGGGCTGGAGAGCAGGAGGGTACACTCGTCCAAGAAAACACAGAGTAACAGGAGCAGACATATTCAGACCAGGGCGACAACCAAAGCAATGTTTTTGGATTGGCTTAGAGCACAAGAGCAAATACCAAAGACTCAACTATTTAAAGAATTAGAGTTCAAACAATCACAGAAATCTGCTCTTGCTATACTGCCACGCTGTTCTGTATTTTGTGAAAATCCAGAGAACAGAAAATATTTTATTAACGTCTAAAGCTGCAATTTCTGTCTTATCCATGAATGTTTGTGATAAAACTGGCCTCAGATGAAGTATTGTGACAGTAGTACAGACACAAAAGTAAAAGAAAATCACCCAACAGCAAATTTCTTAGAACACATCATTTTCATGTGAATTAGTTCTCACTCATTAGATGTCAAACTTTGCGTGAGTCCTGTGTCTGACAACAACAAAAAAAGATTTATGCCTTATCTATATGTTCTGACTAATATCTAAAGGAGGACTTTACATATTCGATGATTTCTATCAGTGTTGCAAAGCAAAAGTAAAATAAAGAAATGTGATTGTTTCCCGTTCTTGTTGTACATTCATGTCTACTTTCAGGATGCCCACTCTCGTTATGGTCTCAAAAATATGTGCATAGCTCCTAGTGGGCTGTGTATCTGCCAAAGGTGAAATTACACAGAGCCCTCATGAAATCACTCTCTGATTGCCTGATTGACTGATCCTATTTTCTGTGTTTCGACTTACTTCTCATCACAGTAGCATTCAGAGAAGGCAGCATGATATTCTCCAGTATTCAGGAAAGACTCCTTCACTTGGTGTCCAGACAGAGTAATTTATATACTGTTGTAACATGTTGTAAAAAATGCTTCCTGTTCATGTTAAGCAGATGCACAGTAAAGACTTACCTGAATAAGAAATGCTCATATTTTATTACATTTTCCTGCTTCAGAGTTATTGCCACCCTGTGAATATGCACTAGACCTTTAAATAAATTAGGCTTTTATTGTGGAAGACCAATCTTACTTTAAATCATGGTCTGCAGTGAGAGTTGGAGATTTGAATAATTTTTAAGCCAATTCCTCATTTATTAACATGAACAAACATCTCAATGGTATGTTCTCTTGTTGCTCAAGTTTTCAAGATTGAATAAGAAAATTAATCTATGTGTCAAATTATGCCATAACCCAGGAGATTACAGGGTTTGTTTTTAATGTGGGTTTATTTAAGATCTTTTTTAGGGTGTTGAGAAAACGTGACGCTCTGAGGAGAGAATGGGATGTTTTGTTTTAAATGCTCAATTTAGCTTGGTTGTATTTCTACCACTTTGTTATAATGTGGAATTTGATTAGAAAACAAACAAAGTCTGCGATTACATATGCGCTTTAAGACTTTCTTGTTCATTTCAGAAACAGAATAAACTGATTTAGACCTTTTGTTAAAATATTTTCTGTTGAGAAAGAGGAAGGCAGATGATGAGGAAATCAAGCAGTTTCTTTTATTCTGCATGAATCGAGTTTTCCATCCATATCACTGAGCAAACACTGACAAGCAGCAACAATGCAGAAACTCATCAAGGCCAGGTCTTGAGAGAGCTGACTTTAAATATACAAAGAAAAAAATAAACTTCTGGCTTCATGAAACGCGTGGAGTGGGTGGAAGGGGAAGGCCTTGCAGCTTCACGTCAAATCTATTTGAGTTTTTGACTGTGATTCAGGTTTTTTTTGAAGGTGATATAATTTCTAAGAAAAAAAAACTTATAAAAAAAACAGTCCCTTGTGAAAATAATTTATTTCAAAAATCAAAGACTATGTGGCTTATCTCTTCTGTTTTTGAGAATGCTTTCAGCGGTTTTAGGCTTTTTTTGTTCACTTAAACTTATTACAGCTCATTAGAGTGGAGAAAACAAAAAAAAAATAATTATTTGTGAGAGGACAGACAATCAGCCTCATTCGGATCTTTCTGCTGTTACCTTGAGTAAAGATGACAAGCGGAAGTCATCCCTGCGGCAGAACCACAGGCGTGGTAACGCAAGGAGCTAACAGCAGAGGCAGAGCGCGCACACACACACACACACACCCACACATGCCTGCACGCATGCACACACGCAAGACTTCCAGCTGTTAGAAAGATAAAGACTTCATAACCAATGGACAGACAGATTTAACTGTGCATAGACTGAGAAATGCAGGATTAATCACAGCTTATAGTGACACAAAATATAGTAAAAAAAGCCTGATAAGTGAAAGTTGTGGGGAGAGTATGTTTGCATGTGATCAGCTGCAGTTTGGCTGCACAACATTCTTTGAATGAACTTTTATTTTAAGTAGTTTTAGCCTGAAGAAATTTATCTTAAATAAATTCTCAAGCGCTCAGGCCAAACACAACAATGCAGAAATCGAATTTCAGTGTTGCACTTAAAGAATGTTGACAATATTTGCTTTTTTCACAATGAGAAAAATCGCTTTAAAACTAGAACTTTCTCGTTCTTTGGAGAAGTTTGTGCTTCGATATCTGTTTTCCAAGCGTGCAGTGAATGAGATTTGACAGGGCTTTGTCCCTGACTGACGGGTTCGGGCATTTGCAGGAGGACCTCCGGGCCCCGGTCAGGACTCTCCGGCCAGGTCGCCCACAAACACACAGAGGTCAGGAGTAGCACTAAGCGTGCTGGACGGGTCTGCACTGAACCGCCCAAGGCCTTCTCTGCTGCTGCAGCATGCAGGCTGAATCTGGACTTTCTCTTCACATCTTGGCCTGTCATCCTGTCTGTGCAGGTTCCCTTTGTGTTTGACAAGTGCACACAGACACAAAGAAGCTTTCATGTTTTTTGTGTGTGTCTGTCACCATATTATGGTCTTGCTTACATTTTTCACATCATTCCTGTGCTCACTGTTTAAATAAACAACATTGGTCATATTTTTCTTTATTGCATGAATAATCCCTTTGTGCTTTCTACTAAAGCCTGCAGGTTATATATTGCAGGTTATACATGTTGACATATAAAATGAATCGTTACAAACATACAAACATGCACTAGATGATACTACATATAATATATTTTTAAATATCTTTTTAAATTACAGGTTAATTTCAACAACTGAAAGATACAGAGTTCATTTGACGCAGAAAAGCCACCTAATATTAATATAAAAAAAACTAAGATCTTAATCACTGCATGACTAACAAAATAAAATTTGCTTACAAAGCTCAAATAAAACAATTTTTATCCATCTGTGTGAATACATCATAGTGAAAATTAAACCACCAAAGTAAGTGTAATATGTCAAAGTAATTCATTTCTATTGTGAACAGTGTATTTTTGGAAACTGGCAGAAATAAAAAATATATATATATTCTGATAATTTTTCTCTCTAAAATTGCATCTGAATTCTGGAAATATTAACAAACTAAATCAAAATATGCAAAACTATTGTTTCAAAATGCACACAGTCGAAACTGTTACTGCTTCATCCACCAAGCATCTTCTAGTGATGATTGACAAAACTAAAATAAGCTATTAATATTCAAACATTAACTTTCAGACTGCAATTAAACTCCACTGATTAGACTGACAGCTGACATAAGTTAAATGAAAATATTGTCACACTGGACTTGTGCTGCCTCGTCCTCCCTCTCAGTGACTCCTGGTCTTGTTAACACACAGTTAGCGGACATCATCACTGCGCCGAGTCAACAGCAGCAACACGACTCAGCGCACTGATGTTACACAAGACTCCACCCAACAGTTTCATTGATGAAACATTTCAGTCTTAACACATGAGGTTTGGTTATTGCTTTAGAGTGATCTTCATCAGCTCTGAGTAATACAAATACAGAAAGAATGGGCTTTATTAAAACTTAAATTATTGTTTTGAAAACTTATTTTAATTCATTGGATTATCACAATGTAGGTCGTTGTGAAAATCCAATTTATGTCTGCCTGTGCAAGCGGCAAACCAATCAAATCAATGCTTCGTACTGAATTATTTGGCATTTAAGTAATTCAGTATTCAAACATTCACTGGAGATGAATTTAATTCTTGAACGCAAATTACAAAACACACAACATGATGCAACAGAGAGTAAATAAATCTAACTGGATTATCTTACCAGCATTTCCACTGTCATCGACGGTGGAGCATTTGTGCAGACAAAGGTGCATAAAAGGAAACACAATCCAGGTTTAACTTGACGGAAGTTAAATCCAGTATGAATCTCTCCGGTAGCAGGAGGAAGTGGAGCTCTGCTCCTCGTGGCTCATTCTCCAGAGGAGCATAAAGCCTCTCAGATACTCCAGCTCTCTGCTTCTGTAATTCAGCCTCTCCCATCTCACTCCTCCACCTCTCTCTCCTGCTTCTGAAACCTCCAACCAGCTTTCCTCTCTGCTCCTCGCCCACCTCCTCACCATGCACACACACACACACGCACACACACACACTTCCCCAGAGCTTCAAGGTAAAGTCCACAGTTGTGTTATGCTCCTCTTTCTCTTTCTTTCCTCCCACATTTGCCCTCTGACGTGCATCCCTCCACTTTCATCTCCTCCACTCCAAAACATGTCATGTTCAGTGTCTTTGAGGCTTGAACTCTTCTTTTATTGTCACTGCAAGCCTCGTTGTTTAGCTCACTTTCCACTCAGCTCATAGGGAAGCATATTTAGGGAAAGATTTTCTTTCTTTGCTGCACTTTTATTTTCATCCACGTGTTCAAACTGTGCAAAATTAACAACAGAAACAGTAACTGATGGGAGTTGACTGTTTTAATAACATCCTTTCTTGGGGCATTTGTCCAGCACTTCTGGGCTTCGTGGCGTCCACAGCATCCACATCCATCCTCTGTGTTCATTATCTCAGGGAAACAGAGATAACTGTGCTCCCATGAGATCCTGCCTTTAAAAAACTGGAAAAAACTGGACATCAGATTCAAAGATCCCGGTGCCACACAGAAGCAGAAAGTCAAAGTTTCAGCAAGGTTGTTTGAGAGCTAAAGAAGTAATTATGTGGCTAAAGTGAAGCAACATACAGCAATGTCCATGCAGAACCGTGTTATGTAACCTCAAACCGCGAGCGTTTTTGTAAACCTGCCAGCTAAACAACCACAGGACGTGTCCCCTTGCTGTAGAATAAGGGTCACACTGTATATCTGATTCTGCTTTCCAACAAGAACTGACCTGGCCTCTTTTTGGAGATGTATAAAAGGGCAGAAGCTTGTTATTGTACATCATGGTTGGTGGCACATTTCAGGAACACGCTGCGAAAACAGTTCTGTTAAAAGTCATACCAGGAATAATTTAATACAAAACATCCAGCTGAATAAATTACATTTGAAGCCCTGGGGTTTATAATGCCTGTGAGTCTGGTATAATTAAACTAATGTTACATTACAAACCATAACATAGATCTACGTATGGTTATATGTTTCTTCTTTCATGCATGCACTTTGGGTTATGGTTTCGTTTGTACCATTTGGTGTGGCTCCGTTAAAATAGAAAGTCACAATTTTCTTTATAAAATTAAACATAGAAATCTTCAAGTATAATTTTTATCTGGTAAAATATCCAATCTTTCAAAAGAAAGGAACCTGTGAATCTAATATGCATAAAGGTAAAGCTGCTGTCTTTTACAAATCATCTGAATATTTGGGGTATCAACAAATGTCCAACCTGTGTCTGTAAACTTGATTCCAATATTTATCAGAGCAAAATGCTGCATTTACCAGAGATTTGTCTGAATTAGAAGTTATGAATTTGCTTCCACTTCACAATTATATATTTTTATATATCTAAAAATATATATAGTTTTAGGATTTTGTTTGGGAAAATGTAAAAATGAATAAATAGATAAAAATCAAGGGCTTTAGGTAGTTTTGCAGGCAGTACTGCACATTATGTGAGATTGAAAAAGGCATGGTTTTCTGTTTTTTATGCCCATGGCTCATTTTGCTTTATTTTGAAGAGGTGAGTAAATTAAATGTCTACTATTGCCATGTTCATTCATTGTGTAACCAACTGGTGACATGCAAACAAACTACAGTAGCTATCATATCAGAAGAGTGAAAAACGTCTTAAATTCAGGAGTTGAATACATTTATTTATGGGATCACCTGGAGTCTGAACCACCTGAAACAATGTAGACTATAAACTGAAGATTTCTAAGAGGCGTGAGCAAATTTCTAGCTGAAGAGCTCCTGTACGAAATCAGGCTGGGAATGTTTTTGCCTCAAGTCAGCCATGGCTGCACTGCTCAACACCGCCAGAATGAAACGACTTCATTTGAGATGAGAGCCTGGTTTTTTCTCATTACCAGTCATGAGCCGAGGCCGCAAAGCCAATTTAAAAAAGCTACACCACATTCAAAAGAACCAATAATAAAACTTCTCCCTCAGTTAAAACTCCAGTTTTCGCTCAGTGACATTCCTCACATGTGAGTCAAATTGAGACTGACTGTAGAGAAGAAAAACCTTTGACCTCTGTACATGAATTGACTGTATTATCTTCATACTAATAAAATACACATTCTGCACAAGGCTGAATATGTTATTGTCTGTGACCCGGTGTGCTTAGCGTTTGAGTTTCCAATTCTTGAACGCACCATTCACTTTTTATTGCTTTGTTTTGTGTCTGTAAATATCAGTTTTGTAAAAATGTAATGTTTTAATGAGAACAATTATTATTTAAAGATGAAAAACAAGAGTAGAACTCCTTTGTGGCTTTAGTGGTGCATTGCAGTTTTTTTCTTTGTCCTTTTCTCTAATTTATCTGTCACAGGACTTCAAATAATGCTGAATTATCTCCCATTAATCATGAAACTGCAAAGCTTTTCCATGACCTTTTGCAAATAAATATGCAGAGCAGGATTGTTGGACTTTCCACTTTGCAGTCATTCTCTGTCAGACTGCAGGCATATTTAAATACTGCCAGAAAAATCAAAATACACTCTGTTGTTGTTTCATGCAGGAAGATCTAATGAGGCAATATTTGCTTTATCTTCAGCAAATAAGCTGCAATCTGTCATTTTCCTGTCTTTATTTTCAGTAAACTATGAAGCAAAACCATGATATAAATGACACATAATATTTTCAGTCTCTTCGACATGAACTAAAAGGAGGTGAACTAAATGTATGAAATAAAAGAAGACAGAAGCTTTCTTCTTGCCTTATTTTACAAGAGAAGCTAGCATGGCTCATGAATTGCACTTTAAAAGTTTGGTTGTGTTTTCTTCTCATTCTGACAATTTAGAGACTATCAAACAGACCAAAGAACCTGTTGCAAGATTTTGCAATTTCGCAGCTCATTTCGAAATACTGGGAATCCAGTTTTCATGTGCCAAGCAGAAATTTCCAGCTCAGTCTTTTATCTTTCAACGACTATAAATATCTCAGCACCAGAAACGCACAACGCACTGAAGAGGAGAGTCTACAACCATCACTGGAGAACATGCTCGCTGTCAACAAGGAGTAAGATTGAAATATTTATTGCTTTGCATCACAGGGGGAACCTGAAAGCAGTTATCTTTATTTATAACATCAAAAGGCTTTGCAGTTTGGATAAATATAGTTCATAGAAAAGTGTAAACTGAGTTAAGATCATGCAATCACTTTTGGAGATCTTGTGTAAAATAGTTTTTGCAAAGCCAAATTTTAAATTCCCAGCAAAAATCAGTTGCCTAAACCGGTTAAAATGATAATAATTAATAACCTTGATTTTCAAGTAGTTTATTTTTCAACACTTTTTCTATATGTCTAGTTTCCAGATGAATAAATCCATTTTAAAGGTTTCTTCTTAGTTGACTCTGTCGTCCTTTGAAGGTCTTTACTTGCGTTGGTCCTCCTGGCCACACAGAGCGTCATGGCCGAGGGAACAATCAAAGACTCAGGTAACGCAAACATTCACTGCTGTCTTCAGCGTTGACAAAGATCACAACTACAAATTTTATTTTATGACTTTTACATTTATGTGATTGGCAACAAAGTTTGCATGAACAAGATAGTTTAATCTATGAAAGTGCAGTTTACCGTTTATCTATGAATGTGTTCACTTTAAAGTGTGGAAATAAATATGTATGAAAAATTGATCACAAAAAAAAATCATAGTAGAAATAAATAGGTGTTTTAGAGGTGTAATACTTTTGCTGATTATGTATCTTATGTTGTCACAGCATGATAGTTATAACAAATATGTAACTTTGTGATATGTTAAAGTCAAGGAAGAACCAGTACAGATTTAATAATCCAGAGAAAACATTCAAGATGTTTGCATCACTTTGAAGAGACAATCTCTTGAACCTTGATTATCCGAGTCGCTGAAAAGAGAAGAGGATCAAACACACGAAGACGGGCTTTGTTTCTTCTGCTCTGTTTATGAAAAACAGAATGAAAGAATCAAAGCTTTTTTTCTTTCAAAGTTCAAACGATCTAATTCAAATAGAGATTTGTGCGATAAATCACAAGCCAGGAGTTACGTCACTAATGATCACAGCAGATAAAGCTCTCAAAAAAGCTTCAATTTCTTAGCTTTTTTTGTGGGGAGAGAACATTATGGCCTCCCATCCCAAATATTAAGCAACATTTTAAATTGGTGAATAATTTACCTCTCATAGGAACGACTTTAGTTTTTTCTAGACTCTGGTGAACTTTAAACACAAACAAAAGATTCATCAGCATATACTTTTGTGGAGTTTGCAGTTTTACTTGTTTCACTTTGAAAGGTGACTTAAATTATAATAAATATTTTATTTATTTGAACCATATTTGTTTTTACAGCTGTTTCTTAAATTTTTGAGTCAAGTTCATTTGAGTTTTCTTTGCCCCATGGTGCTTAGCTTTACTCTACTTGGACATCAATTATCGTCCTTCTGATTTTTTTATTTATTCCTTCCATATTTTATTATTTACTTTTTCTAAAGTTAAGATCTCCTCTGCCCCCTTTGGATTTTCCAGCCTGTGCTTCATGAATGGGTCACCGAAAAAAAAATCAAGACATGCGATACTTTAACTTATCTTGTTTCTTATGACAACTGGAAAACAAGATAAAATTATAACAATAAATTAGCTAAACGTGGTTTTACATTTTCCCCTCTTAGGTTTCCCTCGTTTGAAGCGGATGGTTGGTGGGACGTTGGCCCCTCAGGTCCCATGGCAAGCCATGGTCTACCTGTCTGACAGCGTGCTGGACGGCGGGTATGCAGGTGGCGCTCTCATCGCCGACCGCTGGGTGTTGACGGCTGGAAGGAACCTCTTTATTAGAAAGAGTCGACAGGACACTCAGGGAAAAGATCCTGTCATCCCAAAAGTATATTTAGGAATCTCAGAAAAGGCAGAAGCCAGTGCCTCCAAAGAAGTCGCAGTGGACAAGGTGTGGTATTGACATTTAATAAATGTCTGTTATTTTTGTGTTAGTTAATTTGAAAGGAAAATAGAAATCAAGGTATTATTGCCCTCCTTTTTATTTTGTTACTGTGTCTATGTTGCATTTCAATTTTTTAGGAGCTGGAATAAAATTACTTTAGATTTTAAGCTTCAGGGTTAGTGAGACAAATGACATCCAGGAAGGATGTATGAAGTGATTTATGAAAGGAAGAGGACATTTTTTCTTTTTTACTTTCTTGCTTTGTTCTTTCATCTTTCTCAGTTCATAAACATGTTAGACTTTAATTTCTTTAGGCATTCAAACCTCATTATAAAAAACTTAATATAAAAGGGAAAATTATTATTTTGACTTGTTCAAAACTTGTTCGCCTGGGAAAGTATTCAGGCGAATATTTTTGCTTTAGGTCACAAAGCACAGTTTGTTTTGATAGCTTTGGAATATGAGATTAAAGGACTTTTTATTACATTCTTTACAGAAAAAAGCAAAAAAAGGAGATTAAAAATAAGAACTATTTACATTCTCCTCCTGTAGGTTTTTCTTCATCCAGACTTCCAGAATCAGACTGACTGGGACAACGATCTGGCTCTGATCAGACTTAACGAGTCTGTAATCGTGACTAATAAGGTCACTCCGATCCCCCTGCCGGAGAGAGGCCAGGACCTGGACACTGTTGTGGGCGGGTCAGGGGTCATCGCTGGCTGGGGCTGGGGGGTCCACCTCACCCCTGCTACATCTCTCAAATACCTTGTTCTCCCTCTGGCTAATTACTCTGACTGTAAAGCAGAATACGACCGCACCACACACTCCCCGAGTCTGGATGACAACATGTTCTGCACCAGAGCCACAGAGCTTGAGGAAAACATTTGTTTCGGTGACGCGGGAGGCGCGCTGGCTGTCAGAGATGCTCAATCTGGGGACGTGTACGCTGCAGGGATCCTCTCCTACGATAAATCCTGCAGCCGAAACAACTACGCCGTCTACATGAAGATTTCTTCGTATTTACCTTGGATCAATAGAGTCATTAGAGGAGATACGGAGAAGTCATCTGCTCTGCGCTCTGATGCAATGGCTAAAATGTACCGATAGCAGCCACAGAGCTTCAGGCTCTCGCTTTGACAGATATTTCAAGAGAGAAATCATTGCAATGTATTGTGTCAGTAAATGGCTTTAATGTCTGTAGATTAAATGGATTTGATTTAAGAGTTCTGTCACAAACCCACAGAGTGGTAAATAGGTCAGACTAACAATGCCTTCTGGCCTTGTTTCTAAGTTAGGATTTAGTTGACATATTTTTGAAACGACTTTCAGAAAGGGGTATATATTGAAATATGTAAATTTACAAAGGCTACAGAAAAGACAAATAAACATAAACCCATCAACTGCGGGCTTCTTATGTGTGTGCACTCGGGTGGGGAAAGTTGAAAGGAGAAGAGTGAAACATCTTTTTATATTTAGGTCGGAGCTTCTGTTCATCTTTTGTGAAACGACCCAAGGGTCTGAATTTAAAAGCAAGGTTTGAAAAAAGCTATTTTTAGTTGTTTAGGAGGGCAGGAGTTGTAAAACTCACCAGTAATTTTGTGGAGATGAGTCCCGCTAAAGTTGAAACCAGATATTTTACTTAAAAATATATAATTTCAATAATAAGAATGAGCCAAATCTCTTTGGCAGTGATTTGATCAGTTAACCTCTTGTGCACCTTCTTTTGGGCTGGTTGATGAAAACTTAGAACAAAACAACAAAAATGATCTAAATACCAACACAGGTGAGGACCAATAACATAAACAGCTGTATATCCTCCTTACAGCCAAACTTTGGAGTTAATGTCAGTGGATGGGCGAACAGACAGATGGAAATAATCACATAATCTGTCCTGGATAGACAAAATATTCTGTCTACGAAACACTTTGCATTTCATTTATAATTTAAATGTTGAGTATTAGATATTTTTCAGCCACACATGGTCAGTTTATAGCATTGTAAATTAACTGTTACCAACTCCAGTTGTCACAACATGCTGTTTAAATCAAAAACAACTTAAATGAAATTGAACTGTGTTCACATGAGTCGATTCTTGGTTACATTCTGCACTGTAGCAGCTCCAAATGTTAAGCCGTTATTACATCATGGTGCTGCTGTCCATGACTTGAAAGCAAAAGTTAACGATGAATTAAGACGGGCCGACGCTTCCCAGAACCTGTGCTGCCTTCAGTACCACCTCTTCAAAGATATTTCTGTCCACTCTGCCACAAATAACAAAATGCCTCAACAATAAATACCCAGAAAAGTGTTGTGATGACAGCTGCACATCCACTTTATACATTATGATTGGAGAAGATGAGAGCGAGAAAAAAAATCAAAGTGAGGACTTTTTCTGAACCGCTGGGTGATTTATTTCAGTGTTATGTGATGAGACTGATAAAAACTTCATAATTACCAGAAGAAAATATGACTTTAATAATAATAATAATAATAATAATAATAATAATAATAATTTTTTTGTGTATTTTTTTAATCAGTAAATATATCCAAAGGGTACATTAAGTTATAAACCTTTGTTTCTTCATTTCTGTCACCATCCTGCTTGTTTATGACGCCTGACCTGAGATGTCTTCCCGGCGTTTCTCAAAACTTTGCAGACTAAATACATCTCTCAGCCTTGCTGTGTTTCTGCTGGATCATTTTGTGCAAAAGCCTTAATTAACTTGGAACTCCATTTCCTCTTTGAGTCCAAATTGTTCAGACGCTGCAGCTTCAAATGATGATTTCCTCTATTTTGTTTTTGAAAAGTGCTTTTATATTGGTATGCAAAGCTGTTTTTCTCCGTAACAGTGTCTGTCTGCTTCACAAACACATTAACCCTTCATTCTTATTCAACAATGTTTATTCCTGAGGAGTCACTGCAGCAGACCTGAAGTTCAATAGGTGCAAATATATTTTTTCTCAGCTTTCTTTTATAACCGGCCAGTTCTTTGCTCTTGAAAGCTCTGCTGTATGTCAAAGGGCCGATCTTCTCCATTTGCAACCTGTCTCACTTTCCCTTGTCAAAAATAAAATCTCTTTTAGATTATGTTACTACAGTTTTCATGACCAGTTCACAAACTCAATATCTAAACAGAAAATAGTCTGGATGTATATATATCGCCTTTCCAGTCACACTGACCCCTCAAAGCAAACAGAAATAATTTTGGTAATTCTAGCTGCTCTGAAGCAAGAGGTCTTTGGTTTCATTTAACTTCTGACAGTAAGAGAAAAAAAGATCAATGTGTCATTTTTTTGGGATGTTTGCAAATGTCTGTTTTTGGTTGCATGATGATAGTAAAGAACATTCATTCAATAGATGCCAAAATTGATCATTTTATTAGAAGTTGCACACACATGCAATCCCACAGCAACGCCCCAGAAACAAAATTAATACAAATATTAAAACTAAATAAGTCATTTTCAAATAAATCCAACAAAAATCTTAGCCTGCACTTTGAATGTTGTCATTTTCTGATTCCAGACACAGTTTATCCAACATGTTTAAAATCTGGGACATGAAGAAAATAGAAGGTGGCTTTGAGATAGTTTCTGCAGAAGAATGCACTCATTGTGTTTCCTTTTTTTAGCCAAACTTAAATTTGTGTACGTTTTTTTTTTTTTCAAGAATTTCTGAAGCGCAGCACCAGAGGTTTTCCTCTATTGCTTCTAAAATATTAATGTCCTGTCAACGCATATTACTCTCTACCAGTCTGAGTGCGTTCTTTTAAAGCACTGACTGAGGTCACAACACATGCAGAGTTGTTCTGCAACAGGAACCAGAACTTCAGACTTGCAAGCAGCGTGTGAAAAAGAAAAGATCTTTAGGTTTCTGCAAACATGTAGGTCGACATTTAGGTTGTTGGTTTGTGGATTTACTGTGTGTGTTCACAAATTTCGTGTCATGATTTCATGACAATCAGTCTTGAAAGGCTTAATAAACTATTTTTATTTTTAACAAAATCCAAAAAAAATTATGTGAAAAGATTATTCCCATCTGTGAAAACCTTTGTGAGGCTAAACAACATTTTTACCAGTAAATCAGATAAAGATCAGGCTGTGTGATGTTCAGTTATATAGGATAATTACACACAGATGTTTTCAGTCTTACGGGAGACCGGCAATTTGAAAGCTGCTGCAGAAAACTCAAATGAAGGCTCAACTAGAGTTTGCCAAAAAGTAATTTAATCTTAGCGTATGATCTGACATTTGTGAAATGGCAATCACTTTAAGGAAGCCTAGCTGTTCACAGTGAGTCACTAACTTTGTAGAAATCTCTCCTTCTATGAAACAAGAAGAAACCTCCAACAGAACCAGGCTCAGGATGAAGAACCATCTGCCACAACCAGCTGCGGTTTCATTGGGAATAGCAGTGACTTGACTTTTTGCAGTATTTAATTGTATTATTTGTGTGAACAAAACCTCAGTTTCTATTTTGTTTCACCTTGAGGGAAAATACATATCCAGCTGTAAAGCACTGGGAAGTAGTCAAAGTATGTGTAGACATTTCCAGTAAGGTGATTTCTAATCATATTGAGACTCACTGACACACATTACTCACATCTGTGAACAAATGTCTTTTTACTGTGAGTAAAACAGTTTGCTGCTAATTCCCATGTACGTCAATCCCTTTGAAATCTGGAGATCCACAGTGGTGAGGTGACTCACTTAGATCTGTTCGTTTCTGACTCCGATGATGGAGCTGATGGGCTTTAAATGTGATGCAAATGCCAAGACTGTCACACCTTGTTCCTTCCAGAGGAAAACACCTGCTAGGACTCAGCTCCGAGCTCTTGGTCTCATTACCAGCTGCAGCACAGGGGGCAACAACAACACCTGTGACTCAGTTATTACAAGTTTCATTTTTCTTCAGCACAAAAAAATGAGGAAGAAATTAATAAAAAAAACTACATTCATCATAAATTCTTATAGAAATAGATTAAATGTATATATATATATATATATATATATATATATATATATATATATATATATATATATATATATATATATATATATAAAAAGAAGAGTGAGTGAAAATTTGATAAGCAGATACAAAAGTTATGATTTTAGAAGGAATTTTTTTCACTTTGCACTTTAACATTGCAGTAAGAATGTGATTTAATATCGCATGTTGTTTCCCAGTTAAATGTTGTATAAAGAAGCTTTTCGGCATGCTTGTCCCTTCATAGACTGCAAGAGTAAGAAATCTCCGATGTACACAGGTTTTCTCTGCAGTGTCTTGTCGTAGGTTGTCATGCTGCCAGATAACATCAAGATGGAAAAGGTCAGCCTGCTTTCAGCAGCAGCAGAGGCGGCGGCGGCGCTGTGGAGACGCTCCCCTCTTTTGATTCCCAACACCGGAACCGTGACAGAAACAAACAGGACTGGAGAAGTTCACCATCACCTGAGGCTCATTCTTACATTGGACCAAAGATGAATAGTTTGAGACAGCCCCCCCGTTGGTGTCAGACATCACTCACATCAAGTTTTAGGTGTGGCTTTGATCTCAAGTATGTCAGTAGACCGTCTTATGTAAGGGACTCAAATATCTCTTTGGATCCGTAGCAGCCTGGGTGCTGCTAAGACTGAAATTAGGGAAACAGGGGAAAAAACGAAGATCACGAAACATGAAAACTTTAACTTATAATCACCTAAATCTTAAAGTCACGAGGCTTTCAGAATCTATTTTCAGAAATATAAGAGCTACTATCATCAGAACTCCTCATAGCTGTGATTATAATGGACATGCTAACTGTGCTAACTATGCTGACTTGATCTCTGAGCTACTTAATAACTCAACTGAGCTTTTTAGAGTGAATAACTGTCATTCATGATCACAAATCTGAGGTAAATGTGCATAATAAATTCAGAGAAAAGTTCTTGATCACAAATCTAGACGATGTGAGAGAATGCCATAAGCTCGTGTTCCTAAGACTGAGTTTGCAACTGGGAGGCAATTTATCTACAAAATCCCAAAAGCATAAAATTTGTAAAGATCTTTATGTGACAACGCATGAAATTTTCTTTGTGAAATATTGATGATAAACACATGTTGTACAAAGTAACAGAAGAACTTCATTGTGGAGATTGGGCGCTGAACAGAGATCTGGCAACTACTTTCACATCAGGGTGTGAAAAAAAGAGCAATAATATGATTCCTTTCCCAGCAGCTGTCACATTGCACAATTTTTCCAAGAAAGATTTCTCACAGTGTTTTGTTGCCCAGTTAACCCCTCTGTTGGTTAGATTGTCACAGTTTGACAATTCAAGCTCACTGAGAGACTATATTAGGATTTTTTAAATTTATTTATTCAGTTTTACCAAAGATAATCAAAAGTCACTGCATTTAAAATGAAGGAAATCAAGTCATATAGTAAATCAGCAATGAGCAGATCATCAATCTCTTCAACAGGAAGGAGAAAATGATATCTGTATCTCAAACTTTGAATAGCTTCTATTTGAAGACATTTCCTGACTGATGTCCTTTGAAGAGATGAAACTAAAGGTGAGATGTTTGCTGCCCTTCAACCTCCTTTCCCTAAGCAAAATCCGAGACGTCTGAAGAAGTGCGAAGACGTTTCTCACACACTGGGAAGTGTGAGTGAATATTAAAAGCTTGGAAGCAAATCATGAGTGTGTGTTTGTTGGATGTTGGTATGACGGCCCATCAGCCCTGTCAGCCTGATTAATCATTACACATTTAACAATTCTCAGATTGATTAGCAGCAGAGGGAAATGTCTTATTGACATAATTATACAGTTTTTGTAGAAAGCAGCCAAAGTGTCGACATAAATGTGTATTTTTAGGAATGTCCTAATTACATATTTTTTAAATTCCCTCTTAAATGCAATATCTGAATTATTCATTTATTTATTCGTTAAAAGGGAAGTTTTTTGTTTTTTTTTGTCTTGGTTTTGTTTGTTTGTTTGTTTTGAGAAAACATCAGCAAACAACACACTGGTATTGTGGACCACTGCCTGCACAGTTCTTCTGATGCTACATATTAGTTTTTAAATAATTGAAAGTCAATGTGTTGCATGCACATATGTAACACACACACACAGACCCCCACACACACACATGCATAAGTGATTTCACTAGAACTTTGCAATGACTTTCATTCATTTTTCATTCATTTCTATAACCTAACCCTGTCCTTAACACCAAAGCTAACCCTAACCCTGTTTCAGCACCAGAAACATGAGGCCATTAAAACGTCACTAATGTATACATTTGTTTGATTGTATTATGCAGAGTTGCATGTCGTGGTTTTGTCTGTTTGGTGAAAAGATGTGACAAATGTTTACTGATTCAATATGTGACGTGCTTCTTTCACTTTTTTCAAGTTGGACTTGGGTTTTCTGTGAATCACAAGATGTTCGTATAGAACCTGACAGTCGTGTCAACACTGCAACAATGAACAGAGGGGGAGGAAAGGTTAAAGGTCTTTGAATCCACAGGGCTGAGCTGTCCTTTTGTATGCTGTGTTACATAAAAAGATTCATTCATGAGCATTAAACAATACCACACTGGAAAATAACCTTTTAAAATGTCTGGATTTCATAAATGTTTATAAGACAAACATGGTGTCATCATCTCTGGGATGATCTCACACAGTTACCACAAATCTCTTTTGTTATGGAGACTCAATCTTTCAACTCTGATTCCTCGTTTTCTGGTTTTTCCCACACAAACTTCAAAATGCAGTCCTGCATCTTGGACTTGAACACAGCGTCAAAGTGTCGATTCTGCTCTTCTGTGAACATGTTTTTCCAGTCTCCAATCTCACCTGGATGTTAGACAAGAATTAAGACAAGATTTTTATTCTTAAGAAAGTAAAAATATATTTTCTGTAGAAATGGAAAGCATAAAATAAAAAATATATATTAAGTTGTATCCGTACTAAGGACATGATAGGCTCAAGATCTGATTTATGCCTGTAGTCATATTTAAGAAGTCGCTTCTATTTGAAAAAGTGTGAGACATTTGTAACGGATCGATTCATTTGGAGGACTTTGAGGTGTCTGTTTTCATTTAACTTGGATCACATCTTGTGAGACAAACTAAACCGATCGGCGCTCACCTTTCCTCATGAAGCAGCCTTTGCTGTGGTCCAGTATCTCTTCAGGAATAAGGGTGTAGTTGATCATCTTGTTGTCCTTCATGTGGCTGAAGCTGCAGTGTTTCACACAGTTATTGAGCTCATGCTCCAGCAGAGGGCGCTGCAGGAAAGCGCTCACCCTGCTTATGGTCCTATGCAGGTCCTGACATCAAATCAAGGTTGTTAGTATATAAAAACACTAACAACTATTCAGACAATTAAACAATGACCAAATCGGTTCTTTCAAAGTGTCATGGGGGAACGTTGAAAGACATTCTTTGTAGTTTACTCTAAAAATTAATAAGATCTTTTAGATTTTGGTGATAATATTCACTTATACGTGGCTACTTTAAAATGAAGGAGCTCTTCTTTACCATCGACATCTCTTCATATGTGACATGCAGCAGGTTGAGAGCCGCAGCCTGACTGGTCCAACCCTTAATGTGGTCAAACCAGGAGCCAAAGTGCACTGAACCATGTGGGGAAAAAGGTCTAAATGTAGGAAATACAATAAAAAATATTATAGAAAGAGAAAACTGTCAGCTCACATGTTCCCTCCAAGAAATGATGCATAAACTCTGGAAAGGAGCCAGCATCAGGGAGGAAGTTGGCCATCTTGTGGAAGTGATAAAAGGACACCAGAACGTCTTTAGGGTTTCTGCTCACATAGATGATCTGTTGGAAGATAATCAACAAAGTGTGCCAGCATGTTGGAGCTGCTCTTGCAGAGAACGGAGAATATCCTGATATTCTGTTTACATTCGGAAGCTGGAAAACTGAAATGAACAAATCTCCAGTGTCCAAAGAAGTAACACATCAATGAGTAAATATTAATACACCATCCCTGCATCAGCATTTCAAAACATCTGAAGATTTTTTTTATTTATTTTACCTGTTCATGGTCTATTTAACTTTTAGAGCTAGTCTTCATGTGTTTGACTTCTTTCTCAAACATCTCATCTCCTTCGTTTAATCAAGTATATCATCTCTTCCTGATTAATGTCAGCACTGATTAAACTGCTGCGTTTCTGTCTAAACTCATTTCAAAATGTTTTGTTTTAGGTATAATGGATTTTAAGACCTCTTTTCTACAAAAACTCACTTTAAAATGTTAAACCAGTGAATGTTGTTTGTCCAAACCTGGTTGTTCAATTTTAAAATACATATTAAAATGCATATATGCATATGGATGTGTGTGTGCGTGTGTGTGTGTGTGTGTGTGTGAATCCGACCCTGGCCTTGGATTCCTGGAGGGCGGGGCCCAGCAGGTCATGGGGCAGATGTGTGGTGAGAACTCGAGGTGTTGAGCTTGAGCTCTTCAGCAAATCTGCACAGTAATATTGCTCCAACCAGGGGGCTCTGGTCCAGTTTGGAGTACTCTGGGACACATGTGGGTCACCTCTGCTGGATATGAGGGTCACAACTTCTTGCATCCACGTCGTGCCTAGAAATCAAAGAGACATGTAACTTGAGTTTTACTGTTCTCATTGATCAGTATGAAATTGTTTTAGTAATAGGATTGCACCACATTTGCCTACAGCTTTGCAACTTGTTGGTCCATTACTTCAGACACCACGGTTTGGAAACAAACACTGTGGTTTGTTTCCAGACCGTGGTTTTCAAAATTATAATAGTGTATGGAAACAAACCACAGTGTTTGTTTCCAGCCACCCATACACTATTATAATTTTGAAAACTCCTGGTTTATTGGATTGTGATATATTTATATTCTAAAAGGTAAAATCAGTGTTTAATTTAAAAAAAGTAGTAATCATTTTTAGTTTTTTTTCTTCTGCAAAATGCAGACATTGGTTTTCCAGCAATAAGATGTGGAAACAGACTGCATGGATTATTCCAGATTAGGATTGTCTGGAATAGATGGATGGAAGGATTATTCTATGCAGGGTGCAGGATGGGGCTGATGCCACACCTCAAATAGATTTCAAATGGTTTCTATGCTTACTGAAGACTTTCAAACATCTCAAAGCAGAACAGTGTGCCGCTATAGGCTATCGAGCTCTACCCATGAAATGCTGCCAATTCAACAATAAACCACTGAGATCAACCTACTGCAGAATAGAATAGAATAGAATAGAATAGCATTTATTGTCATTGAACAGGATTCAACGAAATTTCTATTGCAACTCCGTGCAAAAAGTCAAAAAATACAATATTAAATAAACAAATACACAATAATAATAATATATACAACTAAATTTAACTAAAGGCACTCAACCACACCAAAGAAGCAGCAGGTCCAATTATGGTAAAGTGCAGATGATGTGACAGTGCAAGTGCAGAACAATATGGCTGTGTGGGGGTTGGGGTGTGGGGGTGTATGTGAGGTTATGATATGTGTGGGAGGGGGCGGCAGGGAGTAATGGCTCTGACGGCTGTGGGGAAGAAACTGTTTCTCAGTCTGTTTGTTGTAGTCCGTATATTCCTGTACCGCTTGCCTGATGGCAGCGGCACAAAACAGACTGTGGCCCGGGTGGCTTGAATCCATGGCTATGGATCCAGCTCTCTTCTTGACCCGGCCTATGTAAATAGAGTCCAGGTCCGGGAGGGGGCATCCCACAATGCCTTGTGCTGTTCTCACCACCCGTGTCAGTTGTTTCCTCTCCAGTGCTGTGCAGCCACCATACCACACAGTCACGTTGAGGCAGAGGACGCTCTCGATCGTCGCCCTGTAAAAGTTCACGAGCAGCCGTGAGGAAAGTCCAGCCCGTCTCAGTTTCCTGAGGAAGAAGAGCCTTTGTTGTGCTTTCTTCACCAGGTGGGAGGTGTTGGTATTCCAGGAGAGGTCAGACGTGATGTGGAGGCCCAGGAACTTGATGTTGTCCACACGCTCCACCTCTTCTCCATCTATGAGAAGGGGAGTGTGACCCGTCCCTGGACCTTCTGTAGTCCACAATGACCTCCTTGGTCTTCCCTGTGTTCAGTACCAAGTTATTGGCTGAACACCACTGAGTGAGCTGCAGAATTTCCTCTCTGTAGTGGGTCTCGTTGTTGTCTGAAATGAGACCCACTACTGTTGTGTCGTCTGCAAACTTGACGACTGTGTTGGTGGGGTGGATGGCAACGCAGTCGTGTGTGAACAGGGTGAAGAGAGCTGGGCTGAGCACACAGCCTGCGGTGTGCCTGTGTTGAGGACCAGTGGGGACGATGTTGAGCCACCTATTTCACCACCTGAGGCCTGTTGGTGAGGAAGTCTCTGATCCAGTGGCACAGTGAAGCAGGCAGCCCCACCTTGAGTAGCTTCAGCACCAGCTTGTCTGGGATGACGGTGTTAAATGCTGAGCTGAAGTCTAAAATAGCATCCTGACGTAGGTGTTGGGATGCTGCAGATGGGACAGGGCTGTGTGCAGAGTGATGGAGACAGCATCCTCTGTTGACCGGTTCGCTCTGTAGGCGAAACTGGAGGCTGTCCAGGTCTGCAGGGATGAAGTGTCTGATGTACCTCAGAAGAATCCTCTCAAAGCACTTCATGATCACCGGGGTCAGAGCGACGGGCCGGTAAATCGTTCAGGCTGGTGATGGTCGTCTTCGGTACAGGGATGATGGTGGAAGACTTGAGACACTCAGGAACCATGGTGAACTGCAGGGACAGATTGAAAATGTCCAGAAACACTCCTGCCAGCTGGTCGGCGCACGTTTTCAGCGTCTGGGACACCTTGTCCGGTCCTGTAGCTTTGCGGGTGTTGATCCTCCTCAGGGTGGACGTCACCTGGTGCTGCAGGACGAGAGGCTGGTACTGCTCTTCCAGTCGGGTAGATGTACAGCTTCTCTGCTGCCCACTGTGTCAAAGCGGGCAAAGAAGCTGTTTAAGGTGTCAGGCAGGGTGGGGTCGCGGGCTGGTCAGCTGAGTGCTGTGTTTGTAGTCTGTCATGGTCCTGATGCCTCTCCACATGCTACTGGGGTCGTTGTTGATGAAGTGTTCCTCAATCCGCTGTTTGTACTGGAGCTTGGCCTGCTTAATTCCTTTTTTCAGTTCCGACCGGGCCCTGCTATAAGCCAACCTGTCTCCAGATCTGTAGGCAGCATCCCGGGCTTTCAGCAGGGCCCGTACTGTGCTGTCCAGCCATGGTTTCTGGTTTGGAAACACTTTTATGGTCTTAACAGGGAGGACAGTGTCGGTGCAGAACTGAATATAGGACAGAACGGACGATGAGTATTCCTCCAAGTCTGCTCCGTCCCTGAACACACTCCAGTCTGTGTGCTCAAAGCAGTCCTGAAGTGCAGAGGAGGCCTCCTCAGTCCAGACCTGAACTATTCTGGTGGTCGGCTTAGTTCTGCAGGCCAGAGGCTTGTAGACAGGAATCAGCTCCACTGAGATGTGGTCAGACATGCCCAGATGTGGACCTGCTACAGCCTTGTAGGCTCCGGGGGTATTGCAGTAGACCTGATCCAAAATGTTATTGTCTCTGGTGGGAAAGTTTATGAACTTGTGGAATTTGGGAAACACAGCCTTCAGTTCCACGTGGTTAAAGTCCCCCGCCACAATCATGGCCGCCTCCGGGTTGGAGTTCATCTGCCCGCTGATCAGGCAGTATAGCTCCTCTAATGCTAACTTAGCATTAGCCCGCGGTGGTATGTAGACGGCCACGATCACAATGGACGAGAGTTCTCTCACCAACTTGAAGGGTCTGCATTTCACCGCCAGATATTCCAAGTCAGGAGAGCAGAATGTGCCGACAGAGTGTGTGGCTGTACACCAGGCATTGTGTACATACAATGCCAAACCTCCGCCTCTGCTCTTACCCGAAGCTGCCGTCCGATCCGCCCGGAACAGAGCGCGCCCCGTTATCTCCACCGCTGAGTCTGGGATGTTTTCATCCAGCCAGGTCTCTGTGACAACAGTCACACAGCTGTCCATCCGGCGAGAGATAATTCGGAGTCGCACCTCGTCGATTTTGTTGACGAGGGATCTGGCGTTGGCGAGGAAGAGGCTGGGGAGGGCCGGTCTGTGAGGGTTAGCTTGTAGCCTTGCACGCACGCCGGCTCTCTTGCCCCTCTTTTGTTTGCGCTGCCTCCTCCGTCGCCTTCGCAGCAGGGGGGAATGATCATAGTTCCAGGTGTTCGAAGCAGCTCTGGAGGAATAAAGTCCAGCTTGGTGGGTGTGTGAAGTCCAAACTGTGCCCCTATGTTCCACAGTTCTGATCTGCTATAAGTTGTCAAGGCTTCCAGTAGTGTGTTGAGCGAAGACATCAATAAAAACAGGCTAACAAAAACGAAAACACGGCTGAAGAAGCCTCACACTACACACTAGATAATACTTGAGTGTTCTGTCATTCAGAAAGACCTTCTTCTATTCTTCTTCTAATTTATGAATATTCAATTTAGCTTTGTAAGAAGCCACCAGTGAAGTGCAGCATATCCTCACGGTTAGCGTCGCCTCCTCTTACCTGACTTTGGATAGGACACAATGAGGACGTCCGTGTCTTGAAACAGAAACTTGAGAGCGTGTTGTAAGGAATCCTGAGTGTGCAGGTGCCCCGGAAACGAAATACCATGAAAAATCTCTGTGACATTCAACCTGGCCATGTCCTCTCTTAATATATTTATGAATGTGATGCTCAGGATCCCTTTTCTGCAGCTCTTCTGGCTCAGTGAGTCCTTGACTCTGAGACAATCTGAAATATTGCATGAATTCATGCAATAGTTCAGATCCTCCTCTAAATGGGCGTCTTCCAGTAATTATTTCGACAAAACTTTCCAAGAACAGCCACCATACAAAAAAAAAAAAAAAAAGTTTTATAAATGATCATCATGCCTGATAAGACTGCAGCAGGGAGCTGGTTCGTATGTTACTCCAGGTGTTTAAAAAGAAGAGTCAGTGTCAAAAGGACAACCTGTTTTTTTTTACTACACTATTGTAGTACATATTTTTTACATCCTACAATAATATGTGAAAGAACAATTTAGACCTTTTAAACAAGTTGTTTTAGTTGGTGAAAACACCAAATTCACAATAACACCCAGGATTTACAGTCCATGTTGGTTTATATCCAGCTGCTGCCTGAAATTTAATGATTATTGGCTGAAAGTGCTGCAAAATGTTTTATTTGCATTGTTATGGCATTTGATTTACTGTAGTTTTTAATTATTGATTTTATGTTACATGACTTTGTGTTTTTGTGTTTGTTATGTGAAGCACTTTGAAATGCCTTGCTGCTGAAATGTGCTATACAAAGAACATTTGATTGATTGATTGATTGATTGATTGATTGATTGATTGATTGATTGATTGATTGATTGATTGATTGATTGATTGATTGATTGGCTGAATGCTTTTCGAAACACTTCAGCCTATCAGAAGGATGATTATTCAGATATAATAACTTTGCTCTGATCTTCTGCCATCCACTGCTTGACAGAATTAGCAAGTTTCTTATCATTCTTACATTAATAGTCTTACTTGTTTGCTTTCCATTTAAAGGTTTAGTAAATTTGTTGAGCCATGTGAAAGACTAAACTTGCTTTTTCTTAACCTTGCAGCTGTTTTCCTGTCTTGTGAAACTACCAGTGTGTAGGATATTAGTTCCTGTGTTCCTTCTTCCTTCTTATCAGACTGGCCCTTCTTTGACTTACTACTCCCACATTCCTTTCACTCCTGCTTTGCTTTGTGGTAAAAAAGACAAGCGCTGAAGCAGAGTCAGAACGCACGGTGATCTGAGGGGCTGATAGGGACCGGGCTGGCTTCGGCCGGGCTGGCAGACTGTGCCTTCCACTCTTCCAAATGGCTTGATAGAAAAACGTATAAACATTGTCTGTGGTTCTCTTTTTATGTAGGTTGAGAAAATACATATTACTGCTGTACTTCCTGCAAAAGTTCCTTTTGGCCCTGATGGCTGTCTTTGACAGAAACGACGTATTTCCCTCTCATGTTGCCACAGCAAGCAGATGTAATGCTCCCTCAGATGCAGAGGTACACCCTCCCATCTGCTGCCACCGTTGAGCAAGCTCTGCGCTGGTGGTAACATGACTCAGTCTCATGTTCTCATGTTTTCATTGTGTCACAGTGCGCGTGGCTGTTGTTTCAAGGTGGTGTCAACCTGGGCCCCTTTTTCTTTAGTGAACAGTCATGCTTTGAGCATTTTTGTTTTTCATTCTTTGTCTGCAGACAAACTGGTTGATTCTTCTAGAAAATATATACTTGTTTTACAGTAAGGTTCTGGAAAATCTTTACAAAAAAATTATTTTAGGCCACGAGAATAGCAAAATAATACTACTTTCTCCAAGAGGACAATGGACACGATCCAAAACATTTGAGGTGAACGTCAGAAAATAAATTACACATTAACCAGCTTAAACTGACAAGACCACAGATTGTAACAGCAATTGAGCTACTTATTACACTCAGTGATTTACTGACGAACTGAGAAATGACAGAGGCGGAGCAATGAGCTGACATGCAAACTGATTGGTGCATGGAAAGGGGTAGAAATCAGCTTTGACCCAAACCAAAGGACAGGCTACCAAGACAAAACAAAATATTTTTGCAGCAAATATTAGAATCTGAGATATTTTGTATTTAACAAGATGTCACCCAGATTGATGTTGTCTTCATGTCTGGCACTGTGGATCAGCTTCTGTGCCGTCACCTTGGCTGAGGACTGGCTGACCAGAGCTCAAAACCTGATGAAAACAACGCCGCTTATTGATGGGCAAGTTCAAATGTCTTTTGTGCTGATCTTGGCTCTGTATATTCTAGTAGAGGTAGAAATTAAAATAAGTGATTTTAAGTTCAGTTTGGAAGATTTGACAAGCCTACATACAGTCTTTGTAATTTATCAAACTGATCTGGTAGAAAGTATAATCTTTCCCTGTCTGATCATAATGGATATCATTTTTTGACTATAATGTTCTTGTAGATTGTTGACTTTTACTTATTGGTTTAATAAAACAGCCACAATGACCTGCCTTGGCAGCTTCGAAAGCACTTCAATAATCAACTCAACAATGTGGATCTCAACACATTGAATATAACACACACCAACATCCCGAAGGTCAGGAAGGGGCAGATCGGTGCACAGGTATGTTGGAAACAAGAACTACTGGAGACCAACTATTTAAAATATAACAGGTCTTTAAACAGAAAGACAGGAAGAAGAAAATTCGGAAAAAATAAGGAAAGAAGCGTTCAATTCATGAATTTTAGCTAATCATGAACTAAACATCTCTCATTACATAAGGAAATGATGTAACTTTCAAAATCTGTCAACCATTCAGTTGTCATTGAACTGTATGACAAGTCATGTAGTTGTAACAATCTAACATTATGGCAGTAAAACACTATAAAAACCCTAAAAGCCCAACTGATCTTGGCTGAAAACTGCACAGGGAAAACGTCACAGTTACCATGTAGTTGTGAAAAACTAATTCTCAGATGATCAGAAGATCTTTCTTCATTGTGACCCTGGAGAACTCGAGGTTCAGAGCCTCAACTAATTTCCTCATCCAAACAAAGTTTGTCGCAGGCCAGAAATAAATACAAACATTAAAAAATGTTGAACTGATTTCCACCTGTCCATGTGCTTTGACACAATGTGCTGCTTTTCAGTTCTGGGCGGCGTATGTGCCCTGTGACACGCAGTACAAAGATGCTGTCAGACAAACTCTGGAGCAGATTGACGTGGTCCACAGGATGTGTTCAAAATACCCGGAAACTTTCCAGTTTGCCACCAGCAGCAAAGGTGAGGCATTCATCTGCAGCAGCCAGTTCTCAGGGGTCAGCAGCCTGCATGTTCTAGTTCGTTCTCTGCTTCAACACACTTGAATCAAATGATGGTTCATTAGATCCTGGACATGCCGAGGAGTGAGTTGGACCATTTGAACCAGCTGTGCAGAAGCAGAGCAATATCTAAAAGACGGGAGCTGGACACCCATGATCTGGACCATTTATGTCCTGAATTTAAACAGTCGCACGGTGTGACCCATTATAACCTGCACAGATATCGAGGAAGCCTTCAAATCGAATAAGGTGGCCAGCCTGATTGGGGTGGAGGGCGGTCACTCCATCGACAGCAGCCTTGGGACTCTGCGCACCATGTACCATTTGGGTGCCCGCTACATGACGCTCACACACTCGTGCAACACACCCTGGTGAGAGCAAGCAACTTACTGGATTAAAGGCATTTACATAAAAACAAACATACATCTGATTTAAATTGAAAGAAATGAGTCAAAATTTACATGACAAAAATCCTTCTTGATTGATTGTGATAGAATCCAGAGTATGATTTAAAAACTCAGACAGAGATGTGATGTATGTTGGATTAATGGTAAGATAAAAATACATTATGAGCTGTTTTCTAAATTCTTTGTGGATAAATGTTTCCAACAAAAATCTGCTGTCCATTAGTTTTGGTTCAGGTTTCACTGTGGAGAGTTCGGGAGATTCCTGCAAGTCTGTCCCACAACGTATCAGATTAGCAGAATATCTGGGCTGGTTTTGACATGTTCTGCTTAATGGCCCCGACTGCAATCAGAAGAGATTGTGTTGTCTCTTAAATAAAGACTTTGAACACCAAGTTCTCTCCACTTGCAGCTGCATGTTAACTGAGAAGCGCTGCAGAGATTTCAAAGTGCCACATGAATGTAGATCAGCCTTTTTGTGTGCTCGTGTAAAACGTCAATTCGGATTAAACTGCATCAAATTGTGATCAGTACTGTCACTCATAAGCTCTATATAGATTTTTCAAAGGTTAGATTACTCCATCACCATGAACATCGTGGCAGAAAGAGTGAAGAATTGCTGTTTCTGTGAAAGTCCAACATCGTATCTGTGATATTTCTCCATTCGTCTTTTCAAATATAGACACACTTCTTAATTTTCTTTGAAAATAAGACTCTTATTTTCTGCCACTCAGCCTGACAGAAAATCAACCATCATTTATTCCTGGGTTCAGAATAAAGTTTGCAGTCATGTTGATGTTCAGACATACTAAAATTTGACAATCAACCTTTTAGTTTGAATCATTTTGGATTTAGATTAGTTTGCAAATTACTGTGTCATGTCAAAGAATCACCTACTTGAGGGCAACAGGTTGAAAGAAGAAACAGAGTTTGCAAGATAAAAACATCCACTGTGGTTTTCACTCAGATTATGTGCAAGTGACCTGTTTCTGGTCGTCAGGGCGGACAACTGGCGTGTGGACACCGGAGCAGACCCACCTGAGAATAACGGCCTGTCTGCTTTTGGCAAGGTAAGAAGAAGCAATAGAGATGATTTAACTCTCACAGTCGAATGTTTCACAGATTACTCTCTGATTGCACTTCTGCAGGTTCGCTGTTACTGTGATATATTTTACATGACTTGTGTAAAAAAAAAAAAAATCTCTGGGTCAAGCAAAGCTCCACGTCTGATACAAGTTCATCCTATGAACTGCTTCATGCTTTACTGCCTGACAACATTGATTGATTTGAACGAGGCTCTCAACATAAGATATGCGTGAACATGTGCTTAGCATGATAAGACTTCTGTGGTCAGGGCTCTAATGGACAAAGTTGCACAACAATCAGTGTTTGATCATCAGTGAACTCATACAGCTCCAGATAATACATACAGAAGAGACTTATCTGCTAACATATGGACAGCCTTGTTGCTGCAACTCTTTAGATCAGGTTGTGTTTGCATTAATGATGATGTCAAATAGAAAACAAGTGTTACATCGATGTCAGCTCCTGGAAATAGAACTAGCCACAAAACATGAACAACTGTTTACTGCAGGTGTTATGCATATTAAATGTTATTTTTCTGTTTGGTTTGATTGACAGAAACTGATTAAAGAGATGAACCGTCTGGGGATGCTCATTGACTTGGCTCACGTGCCTGTAACAGTGATGAACCAGGTCCTGGACATATCCGAAGCTCCTGTTATCTTCAGCCACTCCTCTGCGTACACCGTCTGTCCACACAAGAGGAACGTCCCCGACGATGTCCTCAACAGAGTGGTGAGTCTTTCTCTAAACCGTGGGTTACTGCAATACACAAAGAAAGGTACTTAGATATCTCTTAAAGACGTGTTTTTTTTTTTTTTTTAATTGTGCATAGAACTGGTCTCATGAACCTCAGTCGAATAAACACGGAACATAAAGTGCAAATTCAAAAATGTAGTTTTACAGTTTAGAAAGTTAAAATATTGGGTCTCTAAACAAATATGCAAATCCAGTCAAATATGCAAATCCAGTCATTTTGCATTTAATTCTGTCAAAATGTATTATGATTCTAACAATAGATTATTACAATAAGGATCAGTCTTTATTTTGCATGAAATCTCTTTTTACAATGTGTGTCACAATTTAGCTCAAATTCTCCCAAGTCAAGCAGCAGTTTTCAGTATTGCTGTTGCTGAAAGTGTGACTTTGTTACAGATGTCATAATTAGCTTCCTGAGCAATGTAACAATGTGCTGCCAATACCTGAAGAAGTCTCCCCCAAAAATGCATCCAATTGCAATTGCTTAACAGGAAATGTGCTACAAAGCAAACATTTGTCTTTGTATGAAATTGCAAAGATGAGAACTTGATGATTTTGTTCAATGATTGAACTTTTTCAATACAGACCTACTAACTGGTTATTGTTTTATGCATATGCATTCTGCCTGATAGCTAAAAGAGAAAAAAAATGTAAGAAATGCTTAGGTAACATTTTTTGCTTTACATAATAAACCTTTAAATGCCTTTTATGATGTCATCAGAGCTTAAGTGAAACCTTATAAAACGATTCAGTTCATGCCTTACATGCTTAATGACCAGTCAAACTGCAGTCAATAAAATGAGAAGGCATTTTTTTTAAGCTAAATTGTAAAACATTAAGCAGATCAAGCAGGTGTGTATTACAACAGATGAGACGGCAGATTAGTTTAAAAGCTTCGGATTGGTGGAAGTCCAGATGCAGAGTCCAACTAATCAGAAAGGTCAGGTCTCTGACCATCATCATGGCTTCAGCTTGTCATGCTGTGTTTCTTTCTGACTCTAGAATGAAACTGGAGGAATTGTGATGGTGAACTTCTACAATGACTATGTGACGTGCAGCCAGACGGCCCGCCTCTCAGATGTGGCTGGTAAATGAGCAGTCTTCCCATACAGCTATTGTAAAACTAGTTAAATTGTAACATTTATCATCTACCTTGAAAACAAAAACGACAACAAAAAAACCCTGTCCATTCACTTGATTGTAAAGTTTATTGCTGTCATTGCAGATCACTTTGATCATATAAAGAAGGTGGCCGGCGCAGGTATTATTGGTTTTGGTGGAGATTATGACGGAGTCACCAGGTAAGAGCCAGTAAAAACACTGAGAGAAGATAAGGATTTTTTTTTATCCATCAGCGTTTTTGCAAAAAGCGGTCTTACATAAACAGTGACATAAAATTGAAGAAGAGTTTTCCAGAAGATTTTGTTTTCACAAACGTTGTTCTGTCAGGGTTCCTGAGGGTTTGGAGGATGTGTCTAAATATCCCAACCTGGTGGCTGAACTTCTGAGGAGAGGGTGGACGGATGAGGAAGTGAAAGCAGCTCTTGGAAATAACCTCCTCCGGGTCATGAGGGAGGTTGAAAACGTGAGCGCTATGTACTCAGCATCAAGCTTTGTCAATTGTTTTTTAATATTTTAACTGTGAAAGAAAGAACAGTCAGTCAGTCAAAATTATGGAATAGAAAGAAGCATAAAAGACATCCCATTGTAAATAGATAATGTTTAACATGGTGTTAGTTCATCCTGTGTCGCTATAACAACTCTTATCCAGCGCTTAGAAAAGTTTAAATAGGATTTTTTTTTAACCTTTCTTTCTAAACAGCATTTATGAGGTCAGACACTGATGTTGGATGAGAAGGGTTGGATCACAGCCACCACTCTAATTCATACCAAAGGTGTCCTGTTGTTATCAAATCTTAATTCAGGTCATTCAAATTTCTCCATACCAAACATCTACAGGCCATTGATTTTGATTTATGCACCGGTGAGAGGAAACACCCTGAACTGTTCCCGTAATGTGAGCATATGAGCATAATCCTAAATACTGAAGCCGAATCCATCTCCTGAGAAATGGTCCAACACAACCATCTTCTCTGCGCCGAACTTTATATTTCAAATGGAGCCAGACAAATGAAGTTAGACGAGTGTCTTTCTTCTAGCAGCTGCCACTGGATTGCATCTAATATGTTACAGTGAACTTTGTGTTGTAAGGCTTTGCTGAAGCTGCCTGACCATAGAAACCCATACCAAGAAGCAGCTTTCTATCCACTGTTCTTGAGCTAATCTGAAGGTCACACTAAGTTTGGAAGCCTATAGCTGCAGAAAGTTTACATCCTGCTGCATCCACTGACATGCTCTGGGATGGCTACTTAATAGCTGAGTTGCTATTGATTCCAATAGTTTTCAGTTATTTATTGCACAGGTGATATCCTTTCACTGTGCCACTCCAGATTTCACTGAGCTCCTCTGAGTGACCCATTGTGGATTGTGGAAGCAGGCCAAGGTGCTGATCTTGTATACATTTGGTGACTCATTGTTGCTGTGCAATATAGAGCAGGTGGTAAAACAAGGCGCAAGCTTGGAATATATAATTTATGTGCTTTATTTTTGATTTGGGAAACTTGTGTTTGTGTTGGTATCAAATTAAAATGAATTAACATTTTATTTGTACAGCACATTTCAGCAACAAGGCATTTCAAAGTGCTTTACATCATAAAAACCCAAAAATACAAAGTAACAGAATCTATCTTAGCAGCTCTAGATTTAGCAGATCTTAGGAAGTTCATATATATTCTAGATATAACCTTTAACAGGACTTTAAGTGGGTTTCTTCCTGCCTCTTTTCCATGGATTTGTGGAAAGCTCGAATAGATGCAGTGTTTATTGATTAATGTGAAATCAGAACACACATTGCTTGCTGTCGTTTCTTGCTTCAGGTCCGTGACAGAATGTCGACCACCTCGCCAGATGACAGTCCTATTCCATACGACGATGTGAAGAATCCCTGCAGGACGAGCTACGGCTACACCGACTCTGGAGCTGCTCGCTCGCTCAGCACATTGACCCTTTTGCTCGTTACGGCTTTCCAGGCTCTTATGACGTTAATAGATTAGATAATCACCTCAGCAGTGACATTTTCTTAAATCATAGGATTTTAAATCTTTCATTTTAATGTTAAAACTCTTAGTTCTGGTAAACTTTCAATTATATTATCAGTTACTAAAGAACAACAATTATTCAAAGTAGAGCTTCAGCTTAAAATTACTCATCAAAGGATGCAGGAGAAGCAAATCTTAGACTCTTATCTTGATTATACTACAGTATCCAAATGTTTAAAGAATGATCTGCACTGGATGGAAGCTCTTATGTGAGACAATAGTGCCATCTAGTGTTCTTTGTAAGACACTACAAGAGTTTTTATCAACCTTTTGGAGATCTGCTGGACATGAACACTAAATATGTCAGATTTCACAGGACAGTAAAACACAGAAATAAAGTGTTATCAACTTTTGCATGTTTACTTTACAGAATCGTCATTAACAGATCACTTAAAAAGACATAAAACTGGAGTTACAGTAGAACATTTTATGAAAACGGTGTCATTTTCTTTTAAATGCATGAGGGACAAAACATCCAACAGATTAGGTTTAATCAGAAAGTCTGATCTACATAGCCACCTTTCAGAAATTAACTGTAAACACAATTACTTAACTTTTTCATCATTTAGATGCCCAACAGTGAATGTTGGTTTTGCAAATCCCAGCGCATTCAAGCATCCTTGTAGCCGTAATGCAGTAGTGTATATTCCATTTTTGTCAGCCACACAGTGGATAAAACATGCTTTCATCAATGTCTTTGTTTTTGTCTCCAAGGTTCAACACATACTGCAACCAAACACGCTTAAGATATTTATGTGAACAATGTTTGTTGAAAGGCACAAAAAATACCTGAGGAACATCATTTGATTGATTTAATGAATTGAAAACTGCATCTTCTGGCGCCCTCCTGTGTGCTTCACAGGAACAAATGATATCAATCTGAGGATCATAATCATCTGCACAGGAAGAACAAACTTCCCAGGACAGGCGTTGGACAAGATGAGGATAAATGTTTCAAGAGAACTATTATTACTGTTTTTACAAACCTGTGAACATTGGCAGCATATAAATCAATTTTTCCCCTACAAAACAGAAACCAGCAAAACAGTTCCAGAACTTTTTCAAACTAGTTTAAAACAGCTACTTTTCTAACTTCCTGCATCAGGAAGCAGCACTACAGTGCTTAAAAAAAAAAAAAATTATCTGTAAACCTTAACAATAAGTGGAGCTTCAGATTCACTTTTACATATTGCTGTGATTTTAGTTCATTTTTTTTAGAGCTGCTCTTTGCTGCTTGCACTATTGAGAAATTCTTTAGCGACCACAAGAGGGAGCTGCAGCTCTCAGACTAATATGTTTTTCAGGAAAACAGATGAATGGCTGCAGCACAAATTATTAACTATCAATGAGACAAGGGTTTGTTTTTTAGATGGGTTTCTGTGGAATAGCTTAAAATAGACATTATCTTACCTGCAGCAAAGGGGATTCAAATTAGTATTAGAGATTGGCTACTTTATGCCATCATGTTACATTTATTATTCATCTCCCTCTATAAGCTGGAGCAAATACTAAGTAATTTTACACCTAATCACTTTATTAATATATTTTTCAATACATTTAATTTTCTTAATGAAATATATATGGAGCTGTTGAAACACTACAAACTGTTCTACTCTACACCAAAAGAAAATACACTGAGCAGGAAAATGTGTCTTTTCCTGTGACATATAGAGAAATCCACATAAATCAGAAAATACAGAAGCAGAGGTTTCACGTAGAATATTTTGACAGCAACAGCAACTACAGCTGATCAGGGAGGGAAATGGAAACAACCTTTATGTGCAAATGTGACAAAAAGTAAAATTACTGAAATATTTGAATGTCACAGTGTACATTTCCTCTAGAATAAGACCAGCTTGGATTCGCTATACTGACATGGCTACTCATTACTACCAACAACTTCACACAACCCCATTTAAAAAATGATTTGAAAGTAGTGTACTCCATCACCACAGACAGAACCGTTGCTTATTACAGCCCAGTGCAGACCTTTAATACACTTATTAAAGGTTGGATTACAAAATGCTACAACTAAACGCTCATGGCTTGAATCAAAGAGAAGAAGTGACTGAACCTTCTGTAACAACAGACAGATATAAGGTGCTCCGATGTCAGCTCTATAGATGACATGTTTCCAGCTGAGGTATCTTTGGAAGGAGGAAGTAAAATCCGTCTGCAGGAGGAGGCCGACAGGTTTACAATACAACGTCTTCCTGTGCTCTGTTTTCTCCTTCCTGCGTGTTGCTGTCTGACAGCAGAGGCGAAGCAGATGGCCCAGCAATCCTGTACGGCAAATTGTCTTTGATCAACATCTTCCTAGTGGCAGAAACCAAGTGGGAATAATTATCCGGATTGTACTCGGACACCGGAGGCCGCGTGCATAACAAAGGCAGACAGTCTCTCTTCTGTTGGGACAGGAAGAGAGGCGGACGTCGCTGGCTCTCGCCCTCCTTCAGGGAGTCCGGGAGCGACTTGCGTTTGCTCTCAGGCAAGAGCATGATGCAGAGCACGGAGAGGATAGCGAAGGAGGCGAAGATGACGTGGTGCAGGAAGAAACCACGCTTATCCTGCAGCTCCATCATAGAGGAGGCGGCCATGCCAACACATCCCGCTGCCAACACCAGACCGAAACAGCCACCTCTGATAGAGAGATGGAGGAATTTAGAAAAGCACCATGCATAGGTCAAATTAAACTTTACTCACAGCTTCCTAAACTAAATTTAACAACAAGGCAACCGGAGATACTGGCAAACATGAACTAAATCTAAAGCAAAGACACTCACCGGACAACGGTGGGCATGACTTCACAGGCGAAGAAGGCACTGAGCATGGCAAGAGCCTGAGAGAACAGCAAACCCACCACAGAGAGGACCAGCACCAGCCCACCTTGGAGATCTGAGACCAGAGCAGCAACAACTTTACTCAGTCATCACTGAAAACCTTTCTGCACTTTGACTTTAGCCAGAAATATCACAGCTGTGATAAAATAAAATAAAAAGTAGCATTTGGAAACCTCAGAGAGCAAAATACTCCTGAGTGACTAGTTGAATGTAGTCAGTTGTGGTTGAGAGTCTAATGAAAAACAGCTAGAATCTTCCACTACAAAGAACAGATCCCACTGTTTCTGAGTCAAACAATGTGGTAAATGTGAGGGAGAGGACGTACAGTCTGTGAGGGCCAGCAGCAGCAGCGAGGACAGTCCTGTGACGATCGCAGACAGCAGGAGAATCCCTCGCCGACCGAAGTGATTGACACACAAACAGATAAAGACACAAGCCAGGGCGCCCGTCACCACCCGCAGGAAGTACTTTAAGTAGAAGTTGTACACGTCCAGGTTTCTGGTGAAACAGTACTGGATTCCTGTTCCAATAAACCTTCAGGGGAGACAAAGTTACACACATACTTACATTTTTTTTAAAGAAGACTGACCACAAATAACTTGAAAATGTTTTATTCCATGCTCCTTATGTTAAAAGTTTTTTTTCAATACTAACTAAGTTTGTCTAACATATAATTTCCACCCCCTACCTTTCCTCTCTAGGACTACATAACACACACGATGAAATGTGTTTTCATTCCTGCAGAAAATGAAAGACTTAAGGTTTTTCCACATTTTTGTGCTTGAGCTATAACTTAACAATTTTTGTTATTAAAGTCAAAAAAATGCTTCTGTGTATCTGTTGTTGGATGATGCATTTAAACCTAAAATGTGAAGATGCTCCTCGTTTTCACGCATTTAATAAATAAGAAAAAAGAATTATTGGTATTCAACTGAACATAAAAGAGAAAATTGGGTAAAAATTCTGATCCATGGCCATAAGTTAAGTCTTCTTAAAATTTAGGAAGTGAATAAGAGACACTTTAAAACAGAGGAGGTTGTGAAAAACAAAAACTCACAGAGTGAAGCTGAGAATGAGACAGTTCTTCCAGATAACACGAGTCCGTCGAAGCTGCAGGACTGAATAGTACCTCGGCTGGTGGTCTTCTCCATATGCAGAGTCTATTTCTAAATAAAAATAATAATTTAAAAAATTGTTTATCAGCTTTAGTTATGAAGAATCAATGCTAAAAGTGTAAAAAAAAAAAAAAGAAAGAAAAAAGCCTTACAGTTCATGCAGCGTCTCTGTTATTAGTATGTATAAAATGTCTCATTGCCATCTGGTGGCTATTGGGGAAATTACACTTTTGAACATAATTTTAAGTCCACAATTTTAAAGTATAAACTAAAGCAAACTATAAGTTACAGATTTGAAAAATGTAAATGGATCAGACAAAAATAAAGGTAAGAGACATGAATGATGGTCATCTTCATTGCTTTTTTTCAGAAACAATGAAAAGGTTCAGTCTGTGACTCATTGTGAAAACAAGCCTTTCAAGTCACAACAATTAAACATTTAAACACATTGACTATTAAAAAACACAGCATTTTGATTGGTGCTTTATTTGTGGGACTAATTAGATCATTTTGCTGCTGAAAATGGTGAACCTGATTTGTTTCCTAGAAGCAGAAACCATTAGAAAACCCAACATTTGCATGTCAGCATAAACAAGCTGCAGCACGCAGCTCTGTGATACCTGACATCAGAGTTTCACCAGGATACATCTCATCTTGGAGACAAACGCCGTTCCTGGTAGTAAACTCCTGCAGGCTCCTCTTGGCCTTCGGAATGTGCTCTGTGGCCAGCAGCCAGCGAGGAGACTCAGGAAACACTGACGCACAGCTGTGGAAAACAACTCCGTTATCATTTCTCAGGGAGACAGCCTAGTTCAAACATTTCTTCCTCTAAAAAAGAGCTGAAACAACAAATCAATGCAAAAGCCATTTGCAATAAAGCAGTGCTAAAATGAGGAAAACATCACCAGTTTCATAAACAATCCCCTGAGGGCTTCAGTGAGCTTCCTATGAAGTTTTCTGTGTCTGTACTTGCTACTTTTAAGGGCGTGGTTGTCTCTCATGCATGAAATTCATCATGGAGGTTATCTAAAAACTCTTCACTAAAATTCATGAAGAGTTTGTCCTTCAGGACTTTGTTGATTTAATTAGGACGATGTAAGTGCATCTATTAGGAGCTTAAAACTGCTCCAGCCTTCATTAGCACCAGACTGTTTTTGTGGCTATTTCACAAAGCGCAGGTGGGAAATAAAAGGTGACTGACTACTAAGATGTGGCTCACCACCAATAGGAGAGCAGCAGAAGCAGAGGCAAAGTGGCCACGGCCTGGAGAACGGGCCAATCGCGACACAGAACGGCGAGACCGGGCAACAGCAGCTCCGCAGAGACGGCGAAGAAGCCGCCGATCATGGCAACCATGAGGCGATGGGGAGGGTCAGAAAGCTCCAACCCTGAGAGAGAG